TTATTCTATTATTTTCCACATGAACAACTGTAAACCTACTTTTGTCCTGCTCTGTATAATAGTCATTCCCTGTTCATTTTCTATTTCCATTACTCCTTTAGCCAATGGTAGCCCTTTTCCGCTCTTAGTTATATTTTCTGGTGTTCACCCACCTATTCCTAAACAACATAGCGTAGGCTTTAAGTGCCATTTATTGGTTTCTGTTTAAATCTTAGACTGATGCAGAGATTCCCTGCTGAGAATTTGCCTCTCATGCAGAACTCTTTACTCTCCGTACACCCTCCCACTGTTCCTCCATTCTCTGGGTGCAGCCCTGTTACGGTCTGTGGTTAAATCAGTATTCAACATTGACTTTATTATGAGTATGTTTTGTTCATGGTTGAACTTTACAATACTCACATTGAAACGTCTCAGGCCATTCTGCTTCCCAGTTGGTTGTGCATGAGCTCTTTTATTTCTCTGGAAAATGTTTGGCTTTTTTCTTTATCCCCAGAATTCTTAAATTTCATATTGGAACATAGGTCTTAATGGTTTTTTGATGTTCACAGTCCTTTCAATTCAGAATCTCATATCTTTCAAATTGGGCAAAATTTCCTGTACTATAGCCTTGATAATTTCTTTTCTGTCTTATTCTCTGTTTTCTGCAAGTCTGTCTGTTGGATATTTGGACCTACGGTTTTAATTCTCTAATTTTCTTATGTCTTTTCTTAGCTCTTTTTTATCTCTTTGTGTTTTTGTTCTACTTTCTGAGAGGTTTTCATAGATTTATTGAACTTTTAATTTCTGCTAGCATATCTGTAATTTCAGTTTAATTTTTAAATTGAGTAATTTCTTTAAATAGGGTCCTCTTTTTATTTCATGGATGCAATATTTTCTCTTTTCCTTTGAGAATATGATTGTATTATTTTGCTGTTTTCTTGTGCTTTTTACACTTTTCCCTGTGTTCCCTCTTTCTATGCACTTGTTTTGGTCCCTGACTTTAATGTTAGAAGCTATTCTCAGAGGAGTGGGGAGGGTTTAGTTTTCTGTTTACATCTAGGAGTGAGATGATACAAAGTGGACTAGAGATTTGTTGCCTCCTGGGCTTTGAGCAGGCACCTGGCCGTTTGAGTTGGTGACTCCTATAGATCCCAGAATTTGCAGGCTTTTTTCTCTTTTTTAAATTATCTTTCAGTTTCTCCAAAATTCTGAAAGCCTGCATGTGAGGATTTGAGGGAACGATGTGGGGGGAAAGGAGCCAGAGGTCTCACTGTCCAAGCCTATAAATACTAGATCTCAATGCTTCTCTTTCAGCCTTATTTGATGCCTCTGAGCCTCAAATCTTGCTGTATTACTTTCTCCAGAGAATAAACTGCGTCCTGTTAAGGGACTAGGGGTGGCTCATCTGGCTCTGCTGGGTGGGGAAAAGATCTTGGGTTCTAACTGCTATATATATATATATATATATTTTTTTTTTTTTGCTTAAAACAATACACATTTATTATCTTGCCGTTCTGTGGGGCAGGAGTCTGACATGGGTCCCGCTGGGCTTACCCGGACATGCCAGCAGGGCTGCAGGCTCTACGGGAGAAACCTGCCCCTGCTTTTCCCAGCGTCTGGAGGCTGGCTGCCCCCTTTGGCTCTCACCCCCCGTTTTAAAGGAACAAGAGTAGTCAGCATTGCTCTGACCTCATTTTCTGTCTCCGTCTTTCACTTTTAAGGACCCTGTGATTATTACATGGGACCCATCTAGATAATCCATGATAGTCTCTCTATTTCTTTTATTGCAGTAAAAAACACAAACCATATACAATTTACCATCGTAACCATTTCAAGTGTATAGTACAATAATATTAACTATATTCACATTGTTGTGCAACAGATCTCTACAACGTTTTCATCCTGCAGAACTGAATCTCTACCCATTGGACAACTCTTCTTTTCCCCCTGCCCCCAGACTCTGGCAGCCACCATTCTACTTTCTATCTCTAAGAGTTTGACTACTTCAGATGCCTTCTTTAAGTGGAATCTTTTGGTGTTTGTCCTTTTATGATTAGCTTATTTTACTCAGCCTAATGTCTTTCCTGTTCTCCATGTGGTAGCATATGATAGGATTTCCTTCTTGTTAAGAATAAATAATATTACTTTTAATTTATTGTTTGCCTCATCACACAGGTCAGAAACAGTGTTGTACAGAAATAGTGGTAACTGGCAACCTTACTTCATTCCTGATTTCAGATTTTCAAATTTTCACTTTAAGTATATGTTTTCCATAATTTTTATTTGGTATCTGCATTTTATTAGACTAAGGAAGTTATCTATTTGTTATTCTAAGGTTTATTTTTAAAATAATGTTATACATGGATGATGATTTTTTAATCAAGTGATGTTTCATCAACTATTATAATAATCTTCTATCTTTTCTTCTTTATTGTTAATATGGTGGGTTACTTTGATTTTCAAATGACATCCCAACTGTCCTTTGTGAAATAAACAAAACTTGGGGGGCAAAAGAATAAGTTTTGTTTCTGGAAAAGAAAAAAGAAATATACCACATTTTCTTTACCCAGAAGTAGAATTGCCAGGTCATAGGGTAGTTGTGTTTTGAATTTTTTGAGGAACCTTCATACTGTTTTCCATAGCGGCTGTGCCAACTTTATATTTCTCCCAGGGTGCACCAGGGCTTCCTTTTTTCCACTTCTTGCCAATACTTGTTATTTTCTTTTTTTTAATAGTGGCAATATTTACAGGTGTGATTTGGTGACATATCATTTTGTTTTCACTTTCACGTCCCTAATGACTAGTGATGTTTAGCATCCTTTCATATGCTTCTTGACCCTTTGTGTACTTTGGAGAAACATCTATTCAAGTTCTTTATCCATTTTCAACTGGGTCATTTGTTTTGGTATTGAGTTGTAGGAATCCTTTATATTCTAAATATTAACCTCTTATTATATATATCATGTGCATGTATTTCCTCCCATTTTTCGGTTGCCCTTTCATCCCGATGGTCTCCTTTGCCGCGCTGCAGTGTGGCAGTTTGGTGCAGTCCTGCTTGTGTCTGCTTCTGTTGCCTGCACTTGCCGTGTCCTATCCAAGAAATCATTGCCAAATCTAGTCGTATGGATTTGCCCCTCTGTGTTTTTTCTTTTGTAGAAATTTTATAGTCTCAGGGATTACATTTAGGTGTTGAATCTATTTTGCATTCGTTTTTATATATGATGTAAGGTAAGGGTCTCACTGCTTTTCACACAGCCTTTCAGCCAGTCCCCTCTTTTCCTTCTCAGGAACCAGCGGCTCCATTTCCTGAGCCCTGTCCTGGAGCGGACAGCTGGCTTTTTGTTGGCTTCTCAGGCCGTGAGGTTCTAGCCTTCTCTGCGCAGTTGAGCGGTCATCTCTGCTTTCAGCTTCCAAAATGCCATTATTGTCTGTTGTCTGCTCAAATATACTTTTCTGCTCATTTTCTTTATGGGTTTATATCTTTCTCTCTCTTTACTATAATTTTGATGGGGATTTAGAAAGAGGCAGAGATAAACAACCCTATTCCATTGGCTGTGTATTGCTTTTTAAAATGATATTTTAAAGGTTTTTTTCAAAATAATGTCTCATATTTTGTATCGTCAGTTTTTACCTCCAAAAATAATTATTTAGGTTATTTCTTTGCTTCCTTTTGTTAACTAGTTTCTGTGTCAAGTGACATATAAATATTCAAAGCTAGCATTAATTATTTATTAATTATTTTATTATTCCAAATAAACAGATTTTTGTTTTTAATATGAGACTTAGTGAGGCCTTGAATGTAAGGCCTCACTGAGATATTTTAGGGGGACCTCTTGATTCCCCTTGATCTTAAGGTGTATATAATATTTATATTATCAGATGATGTTCCTTTATGTAAATATTTTTTTACTCTGAACCTTTAATTGAAAACTTATATGCTAATATAATGGCAAGAGCTTCCTATGTCATTTTAGCTGTGACAGTGGCTTTCTACTGTATTTTTTATTTATAAGTGTAGCACTATTTCTGACAGGATGAAGAATGATCAAATGAGGGATTGCCTGGTATGACAAGGTCCTCGGGTGCTTTCAAGAGTGTGTTTTTTTGTTGTTTTTCCAAAAATTGTTTCCTCACAGAGTTAAGCCTGTTACTTGGCTGAAGATACTAGCTACTCAGTGTGGTACAGGGAAGTGCCAGGGATGGGCCTTGAAGAGTTCAAGATCCTTGTGAATTTGAGTGGTAGCAGAATAGGCTTAAATCTTTCATCGGGTACTCAGTGACGCGGGGCTTATGTGATCCTGAAAAGGGTTGAGAACCCATTTCTAATAGATTATTCTGGGGAAAAAATAGGATGTCATTGATTAAATTAAACATGATAAAATTAAAATGCTACCTTGCTAGCTATTGTTAGATTCCACATTCTTTCACATGTAAGTAGAAGTGACTATAAATGAGGAACTAAATGAAAAACTAACGCCCTATTTCTCTGTCAAATGCAAAATATTATCTCTAGCTTCCCGGTCATGTTAACACCCATTTTCACATGTGTAACTATGAAAGTTGTTATTTATGAGGGTAATGTTTGGGTCTTAGAGAAATGACCGTTTTTTGTCACTCAGCTTGTGAGGAGGTTATCAATTACCCTTTGCTTTCATATTGATGCTGCTGTACTTAATTTGTGAAAATCAGTTATTTGTTGACAATGATAATCAGTAAGTACATAAAAAAATACCTCTATGTGATAGAAGGTTACAGACTTTAGTTTTCAATTAAGAAAAGATGGGGTAAGTGTTATGTTATGTATATTGTACAACAACAAAGAAGGAAGGAAGGAAGGGAGGGAGATTGTTCAAAGATTGGGGTGGGTGGTGGGAAAGGTCAATTGGGAATGTTTTGTTTCCAATCTAACAATCTAATGCTTTTACTTGTAGTGAGGTCTACTGGATTTATAAACTCTCAGCTTTAAAATTTTATGATTCCATTTCCAAAGTGGTTAAGCTTAAACTGCTGTTCTCTTTTAGGTACACCATTGAGTTCTCTGGGATTGACAAGCGTGTCTGGTTGGGAAGCTTATGAGATAGAAGACAAGACCCTGCCTCAGGAAGTGTACATGAGAATAACTTTAAAGGAACCTGTTGATAAATGTGTAACAGTGGCTGTTGGAGGTATGTATGGTAATAGCCTCAAGCATGGCTTGAATGTAGCGTAACCCACTCTGCTGTCCTAAGTCAAGTTGAGCCATTGTCTGGGAATAGAGACTGTGCTTAGGGCAGGACCTCATTCTGTCTTCTCAGATACGCTAGTGGCCATTGTTCTCTAAACTTGACTGTGTGCTGGGATGTCACTCTTGTGGTGGTTGTATGGGATTGATTGACTGTTCCCTGTTAGTCATTAACTTTGACTTGTTTGTCTTCTTGACCCCCAACCCCATGTTACAGTGTTACAAGGTTACTTCATTTTCTTGCTTTATAGCCTTTAATTCTTATCTCCTCAATAACTTTTATGTCAAGGTCAGGGTCACTCATTATTTAATATCCTGTGACCTTCTATGGGTGTCTGGCTTTCGATGCACTGGCTCTTTTTTTTATGGCCTAGCCTGTGTCATGTTATATAGCACCTTGATCTTTTAAGGGTTTTTTTCCCCCATGTACCAATATAGAACACTATAGACACATCCCATTTCTGATCATCATACCATCATAAAAACGTTAAATAAATTTAATTTTCTGGACGAGGATACTGAGGTCCTAAGTAGTTAAATACCTGGCCTGCTATTTCCCAGAGAGTAAGTGACAGAAATCTGGGCCCAGCGCTAGGTCTGTCTGTCTCATTGCCTACTATGGAAACAGGGTGCCATGCTGTCTCCCCTCGTGAAGCAGGGTTTGAAAAATACCCTAATGCTTATAGAATTTTTAATCTTCTTCTTTACTTTTTTTTACTATTATTTTCTACTTTCTCCCATTTCACGGCATCTTATTTGGTTTGTAATTCTACTTACAACATTTAATTAGCGTATCAAAATTTAATGTTTTCAGCAATTACTGTTTCATGTTCCTGAGAGTTTATTATTGATCTGAGATGTTATTAAAATATGTCCTTTTTCTAACAGAGGCTTTGTTGTCTTTACTGATACATTCTGAGGTGCTATGAGGCCAGTGTGGGCGATAGGAGTGGACTTCTGTACTCCTAATACCATGTGATAGTGTCTGTGACATCATTTGCACCATTACTCATGTCCCTTCAGCATAGAGCTAATGAAGATGATATAGGAGCAGAATGATGAGACTTGGCCCAAAATCTTATGTGGTTTCAGAGCCTGAATCCTTTAAAACGTGGAACAGCTATTCAAGTGCTTAGTGAGGGCTCAGGGACCACTTTCAGTGTATATGGTTGCTAAGTTTGCCCTGAAGGATGTGTGTTTTAAGTGGGGTTTAAAAATCACTAGTATCCACTTTAGTTTTTCAATACTGGGCTACATGATTTGACAGTCCATGTATCTAGGCTTCTAAAATAATTGAATTAAGTTACCACATGTGGTAGATGCTGATAAATATAGGGTCTGGCACAAATAATGCCTTTTTATTACAAAATCTTTTATTACAAAATCATAAGCACATAATTCTGTAATATAACAATATCACACTCAAGCATACCATATGCCATTTTAGGTGAAATGTTCAAATTAAAACTATAAATTATTACACTCATATTATTACCCTACCAGCCACACTTAAGCAAGCCTTAACTTCTGCTGAACCCTGTATTTTATTTTTATCTTTTAGAGATTTTCTTTATTTATTTTTAGAGCAAGGGGAAGGGAGAGAAAGAGGGGGAGAGAAACGTTGATGAGAGAGAAACATTCATCGGTTGCCTCTCACACATGCCCAACCCGGGACCTGTCCCAGAACCCTGGTATGTGCCCTGACTGGGAATTGAACTGGCAACCTTTTAGCTTGTGGGAGGACACCCAACCCACTAAGCCACACCAGTCAGGAAAATATACTGATAAATATTTTTAATTTGCACTAAAATCTTGGGAGGTAGGTATGGTCAACCTTCTTTGAAAGATAGATGAACTGAGACTTGTAACATAATAAAACTTGCCCAAGCTCATGCATTTAGAGGATGGTGGAGCCAGAACCTGAGCCTAGAGTTGTTTGGTTTCACAAACTGTGCCTTTAACAATCACTCATCCTTGCTGATTACATGAAGCAATGACAGTTAGACTGCAAACACGTCCAAGAATTTGGTTAGGCTTTGCATCCATACAAATGCAGTCTTACACGAGTGAAGAGGCCTCATCCTCACAGAAATGATTGCTTCTACTGAAGACCTGGTGTAGTCACTGATGAGGCTGCATCCAAATCATGACAGTTCTGGTTTTTGATGGGACTAAACCATTCTTGAGAACTGGGAGGTGTGTCTGCTCCCAGCACTTGCCACTTCCCACAATGCCCTTACTATGTTGCCAGGAACAGTTGGGCTCAACTCACCTTAGCAGCTGCATGAATAAGCTATTCCTTTCAAAAGCAACTGCGACTGGAGTTTGGCCAAACATTTCCACAGTGAAGGACAGCCCAGGCATTTACATTCAATATATGAATATCAAAATTTACAATATACAAATCTCAAAATTCCAGGTATACTGTATCAATTTTACTGTAAGCAATTTTTTTGTTTTTAAATGTTTATTCCTGATTCTAAATAGAAAATTCGATAAGCATTGAAAACAAGAAAATACAAAACACCATTCAAAAGTAGCCACTGTTAATATTTTGATGTAGATGTTTCCAGATTTTATCCCAATGGATGTGTTTACCTCTTAAAAAGTTCAAATTAGAATTACAGAGTTCTAGATTGATTCTTAGTTAGTGTAACTTCTGTTTCCCTGTTTTAGAATATACTTTTACAAGATGCTAAATAGTGGCTACAAAGTATTCTATATGGTTAATAGTATAGGTTATTCCATCCTATTGTTCAGTAGACCTCATCCTCATTCATTTCAGTTAGTACCTCTCCAAATTAGGCCACAGTGATAGGATAGAAGTATTAACATAAACAAGAACTCTGTAATTGCCACCAGTTTTCATACATCTGATAAAGTAAATGATGATGGTTAAGAATATGGTGAGAAAATCCAGACCACTTCCTTTGACACACCAAACAATGACCCCGACATACAAATTTCCCGGTGCAAGTGCTGTGCAGAAAGGGAACACTAGAAGTTCTCTTTTGACCTGGAAAATTTGAAAACTCTTTGTTCTTTCATAGAAGTGACTCACCTATGACAAGTAACTTCAGTTTTTCCATACTGAGATACAACTTCTCAAATCCTGAGTTGCAGGTGTTTGGGCCCTGCTTCCTGCTTAAATGTAATTAATGCTTAATGTCCATTTTAAATGAAGCATTAAAATGGATCATTTTAATTGGGAAAAATGCTTGGAAGCATTATGTCCAAGTTAATGAAGCATTTTCCCCCTCCTTTTCTTTTGGCCGAGTATGTCACATGGACCAAACCTGGGTCAGGCAGCTGCACGTCACGAGTGACACTGTTTTTGCAATTTCTTGGAGAGATCATCACAAAGCTGTCCTGAATGGCTTCTCCTGCACTGAAGAGGTCTGTGCTCCCAGGGGTCACAGTGCTCAGACGGAGGTGATTGCCACTGAGACAGTGAACGTTTCACAGAAGCATTCTACTTAGACAGATACGGAGCTGGGGCTATTATCTATTATTTCTTATTATTCATATCTTATAAACTATCATTATTAAATTAAATCATCATTATTGTCATCCTCAGCAGGCCATAGGTTTTCATTCACGGGTATCTTATTGCCCTTGGGATTCCAACATGCCTGCGGGTGAGTTGGGGAGGGGGGGGCAGAGGAAGGGCAGAGACTTAGACTGCCTTGTTTCATCAACCAGCAGCTCTGCTTTTATGTTTATGTAAACATAAACATAAAGGGAAGTAAAGACTGGGAAACACTGTGGTCTATCGATGCGGGAGGATGAAAAGCAAGGGGAAGTTAGCCTTTCCGCAGTATTGCCTCCAGTTCCGTTATGCCGGCTTCTCCTGCAGGGACACACCCGGTCCTTCTGGGCTGTGGCACTTACCATGGGCCCTTCAGTTGGAATCCCTACAGACAGACCTGCTCCCAGCACGGGGCTTCCACAGAGCTGTACCAGAAGTGCTAAGGTTAGGAGGGATGGCGTGATAGCCTCATAAGAATTCGTGGTAGAAAGTAACCTTTTCGTGGTGGGGTTGACAAATAGTAGTGCCTGGAGCAGGGTGGCGTGATAGCCTCATAAGAATTCGTGGTAGAAAGTAACCTTTTCGTGGTGGGGTTGACAAATAGTAGTGCCTGGAGCAGGGTGGTTCAGGGGAACAAGTGACAAAGAGGTAGATAAACAAGAACATTTCAGACTTGGATAAATGATATGAAGACAATAAAATAGGGTGATGGAGTGTCTTGGGGTAGGAAAGACTATTTTAAATTTTGATCTAAAATATACAACCTATGTCTTGCTGACTGTTTACTTCTTGTCCTACCAATATTGTTATGTTCACCAGTTTTCCTCATGGGAAAAGGTGAGATTCCTCTGTCCAAATTGTGTAATCTGTAGCAACTAAGGAATTAAGATGTTTCTCAGTGGTGGGAACTGAGATAACTTGTTTTTTTTTTAAGTAGTTCGTGAAAGCTGAATTGAAAAATAATAATTAATTGCTAGCATATAGCACATAAAAAGAAATTTTAAATTCATTCCAGGGAAAAATGAGATATGTCACTCATGAGGATTGAAGATAAAGAAATAGAAAGTGTAAGGTGACCAGGTAGCCGCTTTACTGGCGTAGCTGCTTCCTGCTTCCTGTCTGTCTCTCACTTTTACCGTCTCTTACTTTTTGTCACTTCACAGGTGCATTGGAAAAAAATGTCATTTCTTCTTCTGTAGTTATTTTTATTGGAGGAGCAATTTAAGGTATCTAGCATGTAATTCTGCAGAAATGCTAAGACCTATTTTTATTGCTTTGTTTTTAGTAGGGACTTCTAATAGATGAGGTGGGAAGACATTTAGGGCAGAAATAAAATATTTAAAGCTTAGGTACAAGCTCAGACTCCCCATTTAATTTGAATGTTTGGATAAGTAAAGAATGAGGTGGAGAATAATTGCTCACACTGTGCTCTCTGAGTTGGCGAAGACCATGATGTCTTTGATATATTAACTTATTAAAGGAGATTGCCTTTTCTTCATTGCCTTGATTAATGACTTGCCTAATATTTTACTATGCAATATAATTTTAACATTCTAAGTAAGGTCTTATTTCTAAATAACTCCCTCATTTTGAGGGGTTATTTATTAAATTTTTTTGTTACGTGATATCGGTTATGGGTCCATATGATGATGTCCTGAGAGATTCTGATGTACTTTGGTCATTTAATTCAGTGTTATTTCATTTAATTCTGAATTAGTGAAATATAGCGAAAAGAGTTGCAATTAGAATATGCCAGTGATACAAAAAGGAAATCAATCCGAAGAAGAAATATGTGCCCTAGCTGCTGTGGCTCAGTGGATTGAATGCCAGCCTGCAAACCAAAGGGTCACTGGTTTGATTCCCAGTCAGGGCACGTGCCTGGGTTGCAGGCCAGGTCCTCAGTGGGCGCATGAGAGGCAACCGCACATTGATCTTTGTATCCCTCTCTTTCTCCCTCCCTCCCCCTCTCTAAAAATGAATAAATAAAATCTTTTTTAAAAAAGAAGAAATATGTGACATGTACCTCTGTCACTCATTAACCTAAGTGAATCACATACTGTTGGAGACTTTTTTCTCCCTGAGAATCCCGTACTAGATTAGTTAGCTGTGCAGATGAGCACCTCCTATCTCGTTCCCGATTTACTGCACATAGCCCTTTCAGGCCCATCCTTCAGTCTGCATTGCTTCATTAGAACACAGTTTCCAGGAAAGACCAATATATTTGGCAGGACTTAAACTAATGGATAATTTTTTTATTATGAATATTATGATGCTAAGCAAATGGAATAATTGTCAGTTTAGATTGCTAGAAAGCTCAAGTTACGGTGATTAGAGCAGGAATAATGATTGCCTGGTTCAGTTATATATTTTGAGATTTTGAGAATTAATAGTATATTTTAAATATTTGTCATGAAAGGAGCCAGATATATAACCTGGTAAGTGTGTTGGCTGTATTCATTAATAGCATGATGAGTCAGCCACATACTTACGCAAGACCCTGTTATGATTAGAAACTTTAAAATTAATATTTGAGGGACCTGAAGAAGTTTATTTATTTGGATTTTTTTGAATAGCTATATTTGGAAGTTTTAATTTTGTCAGCTGTGTTAGCATAACATAGCTGGACATTTAGTCATGAACATGGGTTTTTTAAAACCCATGAATTGGGTTTCCGTTGAATTTGGCATGGGTGGAAATAGTTTCTAAGGAAAATGGTTTGCATCTCGTGTTACAAATATTTTCAGGCTTTTAAGTTATTTAATTCAAAGCATTAGCTATTTATCATTTGTTGCTCAGAATTCAAGAACATGAGTTTCTAGTGTCTTGTTTTCATCATTTTCCATGTACTCATCTTCCATGAAGTGAGTACATTTCTGAAACATAGTTGTGATTTTAATAAATCAAATATGTTTAAGTTGACGAGGACAGGCCACTAATTTTAAAGGAATTCTTAAGAAATCCATTAGTAAAACGAGAAAAGCTTCCTTGACGCTGATAAGTCTTTTTCTTTTTTATTTGGGCTTTTAAATTTGGGTTACTCATTTGATAATTTTTAAACATCACATTCAAAGGTGTTTGGTAATTTTACATTGACTGTATGTACTTATTTCTGTATTAATTTGGGAAAGAAGCCATAAAGGAAAACAGATTATACAAATATAAATACTAGCTCATTTATAGAATCTTTTTCTCTCAAAATGTTTGGTGGGAAAACATTCATGATTAATATATCCACTTATAAACTCGCACACAGTCAGCAAATCAATAAGAAAGATATTTGAAGGCATCATTATTGTCCTGATATTTTCACATTCTGTTGCTTTTCTGTTGTGTCAAAGTTAATAAAATAAAACTGATTTAGTTATCTTTCTCAGTGATTGAGCCCTCTTCGGGGTTAGCGGTCAGGGGTGAAGGACACACAAATAGCATCCACTAGTAATTCAGAACCTGTTGCCAAACTCATTTCTGTCAAACTTTGTTTCCTGGGAAGAAATGTATGAATGTCTTATCCTTGTCATTACAGTAACCCAGAATGATTTTACACCCATGAAGCAGTTATTTCTTTCTTCTTACATTTTTATAGTTCATTTTTATTGTATTTCCCCATTATCATTTATTCCCCCTCTACCCTCCTCCACCTTCACCCCCCACCGCAGTCCCCACACTGCCTGCTGTCCATGTACACAAGTTCTTTTTCTTCTTTGCCCAGTCCTTTCAACCCTCAAATTCTCTCCTCTCTTTTTACTCTTCTACTGAATCAGCTGTCCTGTGTCATGTCCGACATTGCTGTTCTCACTATTTTAAAAAAATATTTTACGTACAGTTTCACTTAATCTCTTCTCTGAAGGTAATGATGTCTATTTCCTGAGTGCCTTTTATGTCCAGAGGCACTTCATCATTTACATGATCTCTAATGAAAATCCTGGAGCCTTGCAGGGGCCTCCATGAGCTTTCTTTATTCAATGGATTTTTGGTGTTACCTTTATGTTTTAGGTTCTCCTCTAGATACTTTGGGTAGTGAATAAGAAAAACAATCTCAAACCCGTGCCTTAGAGATTATAGCCTAATGAAAGTAAGAGGGAAAGTCGATGGATAAGTAAAGTGCATGTATCGATATGATGATCAGAGTTCTGGCAAAAAAATAAATCGGAGAAGTGGACGGGAGTGTGAGTATGAGTGTGGTGTGTGTGTGATGTGTTCTCTGTAATACAAAGTAGGGAGGTCAGAGAAGGCCTCAATGAGAAGCTAACATTCAGGTAAGGACATGAAAGAAGGGAGGAAATGAGCTTGCTATGTCTGGAAAGAACATTCCAGGCAAGATGACAGTGAGGACCAAGGCCGAGATGCGAATCCAATCAGCCTTCCCCGGGGCGACACGTCAGTCCAGGAATGCCGGTCCCGACCCAGACCTGTCAGTCAAAGCCTCTGCTCTCTCCACCACCCTGGGTGACTCTAAAAGGAAATTTTTGTTCATCTTAGGAAGCTTTCCAGCTCCTAGCAGAATATGTTACACATGGCGAGCACAGATGTTTTCATCGTGTCTGCTCTTAAGCAAAGTAATAAATAAATAGGTAGATGGATTAGTTTTCTCTGCTCAGCTAGTGCAACCTCACAATTATAGCCTCCTTTCTCAAGTCTCTTAAGAGGGTTAAGAAATAACTTGTAGCAGACTACCCTTTTTGGTTTTTTTCTTGAAGTTCTTTTTCGTTTTTATTATTTTGCTTTGAGAAATCCCTGTTTGTGTTTTATTTGTGAGATTTCAAAAGAATACACCCCTAATTGTGCAGAAAGTGGCACAAGCGGTAGCTTGAAAGGGAGAGCGTGACAGCGGCAGATGAGACACTTTTTTCTCTGTTCTGTTGAGGGA